CCTATCAACATAACCATTATTCAAGTCTACACTCCAACAACAGATGCTGAAGAAGCAATTGAAGTTTTTATACAAGCATCCAAGTGGAAATTGGTAACACACCAAAATAAGACATGCTAATAATAACAGGTGACTAGGATGCACAAATGTTCATAGAATTCTGTGAAGCACCCAATCTGTTTATTGCAAACATATACTGCAGATTACCATTTGGATGACTATACATATGGATAGTATCAGATGGTCAATACAGAAATGAAACAGATGAAACAACGGGAGAGACATGACAGAGAAGCTGTACTCTCCCTCCAAAATAAAACCAGGAGCAGACTGTGGTAATGACCATGAAGTATTAATATTAAAAATCAGAGTAAAGCTAAAAAAGATGATCATCATATTACCGGCAAAAATCAACAATGGACTCAAAGGCCACCTAACAAAAGCAAAAAGAAAGAGCAAAAGCAGGACTGCAGCTGAGCATTAAGAAAACAAAAATCATGAAAAGAGAAGAATTACACCATTTGAATGCCAATAATGAAGAAATTTAAATTATGGAGGTTACTGCATACCTTTGCTCAGTCATCTATTCAAAATGAGACTTCAGCCAAGAAATTTAAAAGAGAGTGAGATGAGTAGCAATGAAAGAACAGAAGAGATCATCAAGCGTGAGGGTATTTTACTGGAGACCAAGGCCAAGATCATCCACACAACTGCATTCCCAACGGATGTGAAAGCTGGACAGTGGAGAAAGTTAACAAAGTAAATTGATGTATTTGAAACAGGGCGCTGAGGAGAGCTTTGCAAATACCCTGGACTGGCAGAAAGATGAACAAATGGGTTCTTAATCATATCAATCTAGAACTTACCCTGGAAGCAAAAATGACAAAACTGAAGCAGTCATACTTCAGGTGCATCACGAGAAAGCAAGTCTCACTGGAAAAGACAATAATGTTAGGGGCAGTTGAAGGCAGAAGAAAAAGAACAAATATGAGAGGAACTGATTCCTTAAAGGAAGTCACAGCCTTGAGTTTACACAAACTAAGCAAAGTTATCAACGACAGGACAAGTTGGAGGGCATTCATTCAGAGGGTCATCATAAATTGGAGATGACCTAATGGCACATAACAAAGCCAATTATGGTTTTTTTCATTGTGATCAGCAGCTCTGAAGTGATAATTTCCCTTGTGTTCAAAGGCTACATTATCTTTATTCAGAAATGCTTTAGGGTTTTCCCTTTCCAGTATAACAAGCAGTGCTTTTTTTGTAAGAAAAAAAGGTACCAGAACTCATGAAATTATTTACCTTTCACACGTAGTCAATCACTGTACACACACCCACACACGTCAGTTGTGTAATGAAACATAATGGTCGCTGGCTGCAGTAAGCACTCAGCACGTGACCACACGACCAATCACAAGCCGAGCAGCACCATCACAACCAGCGCGGACGAAGCACGCATGCATCGGACTCGACCACAAGCAGCCTGCATGCACTGTTTTAATGATTTTGCCGCCGACCTGCTACACTCAACAGGGCGATTCAAATCCACGTGGACCAAACATCAAATTTTCAAAAGTTACTTTTAAAACTTGGAAAATCTGTCAAAAAAAAAAAAAAAGGTGCCGGAACTTTGTTTCAGTGCATTCTATGACAAAAAAAGCACTGATAACAAGTATAGATATAATTCTTCCCAATTATTTTCTTTCATCAAAACTCACACAGAAGCAGCTTACAAAGGGGATGCTGTAAATATATGCTGCAAATAAAAATCCAAAAAAAGCACTAAATTTCTGTATAAACAGGAAATAGAATAATGGTAATTCCCCCACACAGTGAGCCATCTAGTACTCTGAATACAGAAGTGCTGTAGTTGTAAAAATTCTCTTCCCCCGAGAAATAGTTTAAATAGCTGACATCTTTCTAAATGCCTTACATGGGAAAAATATTTGCTTTTATGTTTGCTGTTTATTTTCATTGCGACAATGACCATAGTACTGAAAAGTATGTACTTAAATTGGGTGACATCACAGGAACATAGGAAGCTGCCTTATGTTGGGCTGGTAGTATAACACGATAGCCCCCTGTAGCTTATTTCACCTGCAGAGAATGTGAGGTATACGTAGCTGCCATTTTGAATATTCAACTCGGACTTGGAGATTGTATGTTGTATGAACCCAGCAAGCATACATAATGTGAAGGTCAGCCATGGTCTGTTTTATGGTTAGAAAAGGGTTGTTTAACTCTTCCACACTTGCTGGGTTCACAGCATGACAATCCCCAAGCTGGAGTTGCATATTCAAACTGGTGCCTATGTACACTTCAGTTTGGCATGAGTTAAATAAGTAAATAGCTTACAATGTCCTGGAGTGTGACTCTCAATCCAGTCATTGAGTTAGACCATGGGTCCTCAAACTACAGCCCATGGGACGGATCCAGCCCACCATGGCCATCCATCTGGCCTGCGCCGCAGTTAGCAGCCTGTGCTTGCTGCGTGGGCAGGAAGGTGGTGGCTTGCTCACACGGAGAGGGTTTTGGACTCGCTGGGAGATCTCCGAGCGAGCCGCTGCCGTGCGTGCCCGATGCCGCCTCGCGCATGCCCAACAGCACCTCACCGGCCCACACCCCCCCCCAGACACCCCCACCTCAGTGGTCGCCGCAGCCTTTCAACTGGCCCCCTTTTCAAAAAGTTTGAGGACCCCTGAGTTAGACCATCAAGTCCATCTAACCCAGCATTGCTGACACTGACTGGAAGCAGCTATCCAAGGTTTCCAGTAGGAGCGCTTCAGAATCTGTCTGGAGATGCATTGTAGCTGCAACACTCTCTAAACAAATGTGTTCTGCTGCTGAGCTACATCCCTCCTCTTTACTTCCTCAAGGTCTAGCTCACCTTTCACAAATGGAAAAGAAGGAAGGAAGGAGGAAGAAAGCAATTAACTGAACAATGCTAAACAAATATCTTATCTTGCTGGTACCCAGCCTAATCTGGGTACAGATGAAATTTGCATGCACAAGATATTTTCTTAGGGCACTTATAGACAGAAGGTCACTTCCAGAAGCTATTCCCAAGATGTCTACCAGCACTCAGATAAGTGCAGCCCTTGACAGGGATATCCTCTATCCCATGTAAAATTATGGGGGAAGAAGACTTGGCTCAGATCAGGATAGCAAATACTTTTAAAAGGTGCATTAGAAGCAGCCAAGTGCTAGACAAATTAAGAGAAATAAAAATCAACGAAACTTCTCCCCCCACCCATGCCATCAATATGCATAAAGGGCTTGTGATGCACTTCCTGCTGATGTTACATGATGATTTTATTCAACAGGCACCCATTATACATTGTCCACACCAACTGCAATTAAAGGCCAGAATCAATACTGTGCAGCAACTAAATAAAGAGAGCTGCAATTTTATGACAATGAAATTCAACTGTTTGTTCAACTTCTGGAAAATGACTAATGCCTGGGAATGTCCTTGGAAAAGATTAGAAGCATCTTTATCCAACATCCGGAGGACTTCTATGGCAGATGGGCTTCCATATCTTATCAATAATACTTAAATATAGCTCACTTTAGTATGAAGACCAAACATGCCTTAACAGTAAAGTACATTGCCCCAATCTTTTAATAAGCAAGTCCTGCTCTCTAAATCTGCTAGCTTCAGATAAAACTCAGGAAGTTCAGATTCAGTCGAACCAAAGTTCTAACTGCAAAATCATGGAAGCTCTCAGTATCAAGCCAAATTGGCCTGACACTTGTGCTGTTCTGCAAACTTTGTTGCATATACACAACACTTGGGCATTTGATAAAACTAGCCAAATGCCCAAGTAGTTTGTAAAAGTATCCAGTGTTCATTTAAGAAGGATTTAGCAGAACTAGCAGGAAAGAGCATAGAAGCATGGAGCTTAGATCAGAAGGGCCTGGGCACTATGGTGCTGATTTGCCCAGAGCAAAGGGAAGTTTTAGGGTTGGTTGGTTCTAAATGGTTTGCTCACTGAAGCATAGGAGTGTTAAAATTTACTTCAACACATCCATCTTTCAGGGCCTTCCTAACTGAGAAAGTTAAGTCCCAGTCGATCAGCAGAACCTGCATAGGACTAAACTGCACAATGTAATATTGTATACAAGAAATACTTTTCACCCAGTGTTTGATGGTGTGCGGGGGGGGGGGTACTTAGCATAAGGCAAGCTAAGATAAGCAGCGATTTCATCTTTTAGCCGGAGCAATTTAAACTTGCATTTCCACTGAACCCCATGAATCTGCTTCACTAATTTAAACTATGCCTTTACAGGGCTTCAACTCAACAGTTCAGCTATACAGAAGAGAACAAATCTAAGGCAAATCGAATCTGTCTTTAATTCCTAAAGTCTGAGGAGGGGAGGGGGCGGCCAGTTATAATTATGCCATGTAGCACCAGCAAGAGAAAAAAACGCGGCTATTGCTTCCAATGTCGCCATAGCGCAATTTTATGCACGTTTACTCTCTCTCACACACCCCCCACCCTAGCAATATCAGCATTCCCCAGCCGGCAAATGGGGCAAGTTATAGGGCTTTTTAATGCCTAAACACGCACAGGACTGTGACCGAAACTCCAAACAATTGTTTGTTTTATAAAAGAGGGCGTGTCTTAAATATAATATGCATAATGCACGAATTAATTTATAATATGCATTAATCGTTAAGATGCCGCAAGATTGGTTCCTGGTTCTGCAGCAACTAAGCAGAGATACCCTTCTGATCATGGTTTATAGCAACTTATTAAAAGGACCGCTCAGATTTTATTTTTATTTTTTTGCACCACACCCACAAAGAAAACAGGGAAAAGGGTAAGCCCGCGGGAGTTCGCCCTGGCTGCATTTCACTTTTTACCTCGGCATGACCTGAGACCCAGAGCCGCTGGGCGGGACACAAGGCCCGCGAAGACGCTGCAGGAAGGAAAGAGGAGAGGAGAGGGCAAAGGTAGGTCCCGGCTCACAGCCAAAGGGAGAGGCCGGAGGTGTACCTGCAGTCGCTGGGCCCGTTTCCGTCCCAGTGTCTCGCTTTTGCTCCTGACGGGAAACAGGCGGCGTGCCTGCGGTTCCCTGGAAGAAAACCAAGGCAGCGCTGTTGAGGGTAGAGCTGGATTTCCTCCGGATGGCCATCCGCCTGAAGTTGGTGCTCCCGGGGCCGTTCATTTTCTCCTCTCGTCGTCCCTGCGCCGTGCCTGACAAAGGGGCGACAGCCGGCCCTGCCTCAGCCCCCGAGGGGGCTCGCGCCGCTCATCTGCGGCACGCACGGCCGCCTCAGCTGAGGGACGCGTCCTCGTCCTGCGAAGTGGTTTAAAAATAGTAATCGCGAACGCGTGTGTGGCGCTGCCCGCCTCTGCGTCCCGCCTCGCGCCGGAGTGCTGCGAAGTGGCCTTGAGGGACAGACAACTCTGCCCTGCCCGAGACCCCGCCCCAGAGAGTGGGGGCAGGAGGAGGAGGAGGAAAGGCGGCGGCGGCGGCTTGAGATCGCCTTGAAATTCCCGCTCTGGGTTGGCCGTGCGCCAGAGCGCGTGCGCCTGCTTGCCGCTCTTAAGCTCCTCACCTGTCAGGTGCGACAGGTGGGAGGCAGCGCGAGCGAGCGAGCGCCTCTCCCCGCGGGTGGCCGCACGAAGAAACGACGGAGGTTCTGCATGTGCTTCCCACCCAAGGCTGTGTAAACTAAGTGGAGACGGTCTCCTCACAGGAGACTCATTTGGGTGCCATGAAAAGCAGCAAACAGTCCACTATTTGAATTAGAATTACACTTACTATAATCCGCACAAGCCACTGCTTGTGGGATCCAGATGATAGCGTTTTTATTAGATTTATATCTAATGTGGGACTCGGGCAATCTGGGTTCTAGCTCCAGTCCTTTGGGCCAGTCACAAACTCTCAGCCTACCCTACCCCACAGGGTTGTTGTTGTGGGGATAAGATGGAGAGCAGGAGGAGAATGATGTAAGCTGCCTTGAGCCCTTTGCAGGAAAAAGGCAGGATATAAATTGAAAAAAAATAAAATAAGTAATATAATCATCTTTTAAATGAATCGGTAACAAAAGCAGCATATCTGATGAAACTTCCCATTAAAAGCTAAAGGAAACAAGCTTTTAAATGGTTTTTTAAAAAGATAACAGGTGGAATTCTTGAAAGAGAGCTCTAATCTTACAAATCTCAATGGTGAGAATTTATGAGCTTTGAAAGATGTGAGTGATCCTTCCAAGAATATGGATCCAAATAATTTCAGATTAGAAGCAAAGCAGATTCTAGATCTGTATTCCCACCCCCTTGCCCCTCCCCCATTGGAACAACTGGGAAAAGGTGCAAAAAAAAGCAGTTCAGAAAGACAGGCAGAGAATTATAAAATAAGATACCTCTGAGATATAGTTTGCAGTTCCAGAACTGGAACTAGTGCTGGAGTCCATCAGATGTATGTTCTGACCTGCAAAATCCTCTAGCATGAGGAAGTCCAGATCAGAGGGGGATTAGATGCAGAAAGCACAAGCACTGATAATTATTTACTCATATTTATTAGTGGTGGCTATTCCCAAAATCTACTTCTGTTCCCCTCTTCTTCCACTTTATTTATGTTAGGTGTCTAATTTGAAAGAGAGAAGGTCTTTTTGTTTTTATTATTGTTATAAAGTTGTTAGCCTGACATTTTGCTGCTCTATTGTAAATCATCCAGAGATGATCCCTATGTATTTTCTGCCCACCCCACCTGTTTTAAAAGAGCTGTCTGTTATCATTCTACTTATTTCTCTGCCATGTCTTTCTTTCCTTGAGCCAAAAAAAGAACAGAATGCTGTCTAGGAATCATGGGATTTCTCTCTCCTAGAAAAACATTAATTTCTTTTAGCATAGGTGTTTCTTAATGATATGGAAAAATCTGCACTTAGCATGGCAACTGTAAATTCTGTATCATAATGTCACTGCCCACCAACAACCACTACTACTATATTTCACATTATATTAACCCTGAAGACAGAATGCATAGCAGATATTCTCTGTGTAATGGATTGCCACAGTGTGCAATTTAAGTGAGCATACCTCCTCCTTTAAATAGAAGTCATCCTATGCACACTGAGCCCAAGCTGAACCACTGAGTACAATATCTGGGTGTGCAGTTTGCTCTTTTTTCTGTCTGCCAGTGGGTGATGGAAGACTGGGGAACTGCTGGTAAATCATCAGGGATATAATTCCAAGAAGATTCTAGGCATTAGCAAAGCTGTGACCTCCTGGCTATATAGCGGATGGATTCTCAATTAGCTGGCAGACAGCTGTTACGTATTTAGTACTGGCAGCAAAAATCAAGCCTGAGGCAGGTCTTGAATAAGCTGCAAGCACAGGAGGAGGAGATTTGGCCAGTGCTCCATCATGTTGTTTTAGCTTAATCAGGGAAAAGATCCTAAGGCATACCAGCTTGCTTGCATCAGTAAGATACTGGCCCCTTTAAAGACATTTGGGCCAAGTTTCCTCAAGTTATGAAGAGATCAGGGAACACATTTCCCTGTCCCAGGGCCAATGTTCAGAGAATGTTCATTGTCCCCTGCTCTGACAGGTGACATCTCAGCAGCCAGAATGGTGACTAAGCAGAATTTTCAGTGGGTGGTGTTTTCGTGCCATGCTGTTCCTTGTACCTCCTATGCCTAGCAGAACACAATTATGCAATTCAAACAATTCTATGCAAAAGTACTTCATGTGGTTAAACTATATGTGTTCAATGAGCCAGGCTTCTTAGACACAGTTTTAGACATCATGGTGCATGGTTTATTTAACTTTGTAAATACACTGAGCAGACAGACTTGGCTGTTGATTAGTGGTCATAAGTGTTGTCCAATTAAGTGGGAAATGTGGGTTTTAATTCCACTGCTTACTAAGCTGGCTAGTTTCTCTTACTGACTTGGTTTTTGTTCATTCCAATCTGATGCCCTCTGATTATGCTGAAATGCAGCTACTACTCTCTATTGTTCTCAGGAAAGGCTGCTCTATGGTGTTTTTTTTTTTTTAATTTAGAAAAAAATTACTCCAATAGCTTTAAAAGTTTTGGTCTGTTAAATTTTTAATGAAACATAACTATCAATAACTCTCATATTGTGGGTTTTAATCTGGTTTTCTTATACCCAAATGCAGGTCTATTAGATATTAGTCTCACCCATCATGGCTAAGGATTCAGTAGCTTTTGTAACCTTTTAAAAATAATCAGACTTCATCCTACTTAAACTGTAGATTATAATGTATGTGTGTCAGGTCTCTCTGTTCCTAAATCCCCATCTCAAAATCCATGCTTTGTATCAAGGGTAGGCACCTTACAGCCCTCCAAATGTTTCATCTTATAATTCCCGTAATTCCTAGTCAGCATAGTCCATGGTAAGGGATGATAGGAATTGTAGGCCAAAACTCTGAAGGGTCGCAAGTTCCCCATCCCTACTTGATATTATTTCATGGTATCACAAGACTCCGTTGCTTTTGCAGTATCAGATTCTAATTGCTATCAGTGTGGCATTAATTCTGTTAATACTGTTTCTTCCTTCCCATGTTCTCCTTCTTCCACTGCCACATGTACACTTACACACATACCACTACATACATTCATGCTATGGACCCTATGGCGCAGGCCACATTTTAACCTATATATAAAATATATAATAAAATACATAAATTAGTTTTGATTTGGTTATTCTATAAAGTACCAGAAATGTAGGCACTATTCTATAAATGATAGTGATATGAACTTTAAAAGACCCATGCCAAATAAAAACCAGAAGCCTGGCTAGTCTAGTGTTCTCTTCCCACTGCCAACCAGACACCTATGGGATGCAACAAACAAGACTTGATTTTACCTTCCTATGCTGGTTCCCATGCATCAGTCATACAAAGGCATATTGCCTCCGATAGTGTAGTTACTGTATAGCCATAATAATCGGTTGCCACTAAATTTGCCAACTCTTCCTTCCAAGTTGGTGGACATAATTATATGTTGTGGTAGGAGATTCCCTAGTACAGCTATGTATTATGTGAAGACTTTACTTTATCTGTCCAGAATCTCCCACTAATAAGTTTCATATGATGACCCTGAATACTAGTATTAGGGGAGAGGAAGAAAAGACTCCCGGTCTGTTTTCTTCACACCATTAACAATTCTGTGCACCTCTGTCATGTCTCCCTTTTTGCTTGTCCTTTTTTGCAAAGCTGAACAGTTTCAGTTGTTGTAGCCTTTCCATCATGAGAAAGTTGCTTCAACCCCTTGATCATTTTAATTGTAATTTTCTGCCCTTTTCCAAACTCTGTGATAGCCTGTTTTCTGTACCAGGCCTATACATAGTACTCTAAGTGTGGCTATACCATAGATTTGTATGAGAACAGTACAATATCGGCAGTTATTATTACTTATTAGATTTATATTCCACTTATTATAACAAACTTAAAAGTGGTTTACATTGTTCTCTTGCTCTCAATCTTATCCCAATAACAATAGCCCTGTGAAGTAGGTTGATTGAGAGTTTGTGACTGGCCCAAAGTCACTCAGTTGGCTCCATGGCCAAACAAGAACTAGAACCCAGATTGCCTGAGTCCCAGTCCCAAACTCTTAAGCACTACAACACACTTGCTCTCAGTTGTATTATCATTTTATTTCCTAATTATGCTTAACGTGGAGTTTTCTGTTTTTTCACAGCAGCCACAAACTACTGAAACATTTTCATTGCTCTGACACCACAATCCCAAGATCTCTTTCTTGGTCAGTCACCTTCCCTCAGCTTATATCTGCAGGTGGGGGTTTTTTGCCCCAGTGTGCGTCATTTTACACTTGCTTATATTGAACATTTGCGTCTTGGTGCCCCTTCTCCAGAGTGGGGGATCTGTCTGGACTGCTTCACAGTCCCTTTTGGTTATAACCACCTTAAATGATTTGTCATTGGCATACTGGGCCATTTCACTTTTCACTCTTAATTCTAGATTATTTATAAATAAATTGATAAATGTTGGTTCCCAGTACAGATTCCTGTAGGGGCCTATTGCTTTATTCCTCCATCTGGATAAATTACTATTTATTCTCACTCTCTTTCTATTCTTTAACCAGTTAATGATCCATAAAAGGACCCCTTTCATATTCTGTGACTGCTAAGTTTTCTTAGAAGTCTTTTGTGAAGGACTTTGTCCAAAGCCTTTGAAAGTCATATAAACAGTGTTTACCAGATCACCCCTATCTATGTGTTTATTCAAAAAGAAGTCTAAAGGTTTGGTGAGGCAGGACATATTTTTCAGAAGCCATGATTCTTCTTTTTCAGCACAGCTTGCCCTTCTATATGCTTGTTTTATTTTCAATAATGCTTTCAGAGTAGATGTCAAGCTAACCAGCTTGCAATTCCCTTGATCCTTTTTTTTTAAATGGTGATACATTGACTCTTCTCCAGGTTATGCCTGACCTTTTCTGGAGGTCAGGCATAACCTGAACAGATTTTCCCTTAAAGAAATTAGGTAAAACGATCCTGCAAGGATGACTACCATTGTCTTGAAGGAGCACAATTAGTTGCCAAGATTTGAGGGGAAAAAACACCAACACACGACACCAGGAAATTACCTCCCCAATAGCAGTCAGCAAACACAGACAACCTTACCTTTGTACTCATAGAAAACAGACATGGTCACTCCTCCTGAGCCCCAGGCAACCAAGGGCAACCAAGCAGTCATCAAGCAATTAGCATAAGACTGGCAAAATAGTGGGAACCTTGCCTTCTCTCAGAAGCCAGTCCCAGAGAAAGACTATAAGAAACAGAGCCATAGAAAATGGAAGTGGGCAAGTTCTGAACTCAGACTTGGCAACCCACCAGCCTGAAATGTGGGATCCCTGTAGCGTTCCTGCCCCTGCCTAAAGACTGCTATAAAGAATCCACTGCACAGCACAAGTGATAGGCAGACTTGGACTCCCTCTCTTCTGATGCTTTCTCCGTCTATAAGGCTGTTAGGCAGAAGGCTCTTTAGAAATATAGAGTAAGATTTGAGTAAGAGGAGTATTTGCTAAATATTTGGCTAAATTGAGTTAAAAGCTTGTACCTGCTCTTTATTTTCTTCTGAATAAACTTTCCTTCACTTTCTAAGTGGGGCGTGTGTGTAAGTGCAAGCCCAGGGTGTGTTCCCCTCTGGCAGCATGCATCACACCCAAGCAAAAGATCCCAAACCTTTTGAAGTATCTGGAGGGCAAGTGCCTTCTTTTGAGGTGTATTGCTGCTTGAGATTACCTGATGTAACATGACTATGTTGGACAGCTTTGGAAATACTTCACTTAAATATATATTAAATCTGATAATGGTCACTGTTCCCAATCGGTTAAACAACATCTTGTACTACATCCTGAGCAACCCCTCTGGTCAGCTCCATGTCCAACTGTTCTAAGACACAGTCATGTAGGATATCAAGAAATTTAACCTCTTTATCCCAAATGGTCCTGCTGGATTTTCTCTCCTAGGATTCCTGTACTGCAAGTTTCCAAGGTTTTACTTCCTGGGATTTAGCTCATATTGCTTGGTCCTTAATTTTGGGTGGAGTTGATTTATAAATGATTGATAGTTATTTATAAACTTAAATAAATGGATACTTCTTGCCTTCACCATGCATGAGTGCTAAATCAACATATATGCCCCATTTCTTTTTACCTTGACACTTGGGTTCATTGCCAAGGATCCATCCCACAGCTGAGCTCCTATATCAGATTGGTATGAAACATTTTTTAGTAGGATTGGACTGTTTTATTTGTGTAATGGGTGCACATTTATTTAAGAGCTGCAAAATCTGGAAATAAAAATCAAATTAGACAATCTTCTTCCAGAGAGGATACCTAAAACTATAGTACAAAGAAATCTTTTCAGTGGTTCACCATTCTCTCACCAGTGAAGATGCATTTTCTTTTTCTTCAATGGAGCAGGAAGGCACATGAAAGCAATTCACAGTGACACACTAAAGCATACAAAGAGAGCACAGAGTTCAATGAACAAAAGATTGCCAGTTTATTTGCGGGGATAGTTATGCATTACACCATAATTTTAATTGGAACATAATTATATAAGAATCAGTATATTAGCTTCTAATTTAGTTTCTTCCATTCTGGAGTGTCTTAGTTTTTGAACCATTCAACCTGTATAATCATACAATACATGTACAAGCACATGAGTCCCTCACAAATCAATTCATCTAGAATTGTCTACAGATAGACCAGGAGAGAAGAGAATTTGACATGGCAATTATTTCAGAGTTTTCAGAACAAATGGTTTTAGAATCCAGAATTAGTAAATATTCTGATATTCTAGTAAATCAGAGTTGTAACACAAGAAAAGTTTCAAACATTCAATCCTTAAGTCAATGAGCACATCTATCTGTATTCTCCATGATCTAGAAATACTCCATTCAACCTCAAAAAGGCATTACTACAGAACTTCAATTCAGTTTAGGAGTGGCCAACTTTTACAGCAGGCTAATATACTGCATACAAATCAGGTTTTAACTCAAACTGCACCAGTATTTAAACCATCTGGAATATAACACAATACATCCTTTTCTGTGGTTGATTAGATTAGGATATTCATGCAAAGGGGAACATTCATAGATTACAAAAGTCACAAAACATCAGGATTTTAAGTTTTTTTTCTTTTCTTTTTTTACAAAGGATCAATTTAATCAACCCTTTAACAGTCAAACCACAGGGTTTGAAGGTCTATAACTAGTGAGGTGTAGTTTATTCAGAGATATGGTGCACAAAGCCATACCCATGAATAAGTAATTTTTAAAAGCTAGATTATTCTTACTTCCTTCTTTCTCTCACAGCTCGTTGGCAAGATTTCCCCCCTAACATTTGTACTAAACTATTTTAATAAATTCCCAATACAGATTTAATAATAAAATCAACTTTTCAAGGAAAACAAAATCTGTTTATGCTGCAAAATATCAAAACAATCACTGTGATTTTTATTAGTGCATAAAAACAACGAGCAGCACATGTACCTTCATATCAAGGCTCTAAATGAAACACAAGGCCCTCATCCCTCCAGAGTCTGACAAGCAAATTAACTCCAATCACAGCTACATATTATTTTTTTCTCCTTGTCTTGTCAATTTATCACTCTGATGCCTTCTGATTTAATAGAGGGGGTTTTCAAGAGCTCTGCAGGAGAGAGATTAAAATGTAATGAGGATTTAAGCCGTGCATCTCTTGATGAAAGTTATATCAGACGTGCATTTCCAATATGGAGCGGGTAAAGAATAATCTCATGAAATAAAAATTATCTAGCTTCATTATCAGGGTTATGGAAAAGGGCTCATTAAATTATATCATGCAAGCTTTTTATATTGCATATTTAGATGCATTCTGCCTTAAGGCTAAATGCAATTCATTGCTTTTCTTTATTTTATGTAGAATAGCAACCCAAACTTTTTAATAAATGGAGGAAAAATTCTGAATATATACCCTTTCTGGTATACTAAATCTATAATTGCAAGCAATTCTGAAGAAAAAAAATCCAAATTTAACATAAGATGTAAGGAAGTGGCTGTGCTTCTTATATAGGACCTCGGTGCCTGGAATTCTGGAATAACTATACATTTAAAACTCAAGAAAACAAAATAATTTAAAATGAAACAGCTGCACAACAGTCACCAGATCAGGAGAATAAGTAAGGGATCATATGTAGCCTTAATAAGAATTAGATAATAGGTTGAGCTTTACCGGATTCAGTAATCGAGGATTGCCTATTAATCAAATGTTGACTCACTCCTCTTTTGCAATTAGGTTTAAGTCCAGTGTAGATTGCACCAACACAAACCAATTTTGTTGGCAAAGTATCAGCTAAGTTTTAAATACTCCAATAAAAAAGCTTGATGTTTTTCATGGCTAGAAAGTGCCCTTTGCCTATAAATAGCTGAAGACTGCAGTGGAGGTCTTCTGAGCACCATTACTTACTTTGTTATATCTAATAATGTTCACAGTTACTTTGGGTTCTTGATCGTGCATTCCAGGCAATTCACTGCTTAACAATTATTATGACCTTGCCATTGCTTTAGGCATACAGTAGGAACCTCTCACATCCCGAAGCATGTTTTGTACATATACCATGCACTGGATTCCACTACTGCACAGTGGAAACCCAAAACAGATTCCCCACACTGGCTTTGCACAATGTGGATGAACAGGTATATATTATCTCAGTCCTAATGATGGGAACGCAGTAACCTCACCATTTTGCATGGTACAATTGACTATCTCTGGATTGCAGCCATATTACTTTCGACATTCAAATTCTGAATTATTCCTTAAACCACACAAAATAAAAGTTCAAAAGATATGGCCTAACTAATTGGCAGTATGTTGAATGCTCCCAAAATAGACCTTTCAAAATAATAATCTCCCTGCCTCACATTACAATTACAATCTATCGGAAAAAGAAACCGATGGTCTCCACACATTTGCTTGGAGGTAAGCCTGCTGGCATTTGGTGGAACGTACCTCTGAGCAGCGGTGCTCAAGACTGAAGCTTAACAATGTGGTCCTATGATTTTTATTTGAAAGTCGGGTCTTGCCGTGTTCATCGGGGCTTATTCCTGTGTAAATGTCCATAGGACTACAGCCTTAAATGTATTTCACTGGAATTATTTCGATGAGATGCTTTTATTATTCTGAAAGATGTTTGGTAAGAATAACTGTCACCAGCTGTAGTACAGCTTCTGCAGCAGCACTCATGTCTTTATATCTGGGATATTTTAGCCTCGGAAGGCCAAGTAATCTGAGGCCCTCTTGGCCCTGTTGACATAGTTCTTTGACAGAATATAAATAAAAAAAATAACTAAAAATAAAGAGCATGGTCCAGCCAAAGCTAGGCATTTTTAAGGCCTATTGTTTCAGTGGCTGAGCTTTAAGCATATGCTTAGCATGCCTCTATGTGAAATTAACATGCATAACTAGAGCTGGACCGCACCAATTTAAAAAAAAACACTGCAAAGGGCTCGTTTCATTGTTCGTCAATATCATACTGGCAAGATTGCCACCTCTGCTGTACGGTTCCTGTCACTTTAAAACCTAGGACGACAAACCAGAGGTAAGGTGAAGACAAAATATTTGTATCAGAAGTCCTCGGTAGACTAGGAAGGGCTGCTAGGTCAACAACATGCTCCTTTATAGTAGTTTGTGTTTGTAAGGCAGAGCTCTGTATGAAGCTGGAGGTAGCAGCCCTAGCTGCTGCTAAAACAAAATAACTGTAGACATTCCCTTGTTTCATAAGAATACAAGCATAAGGTAGAGCATTAAAATGTTTAAAGTAGCACAAGATAAACCACATGGAAATACGTGAATGAGTTCAAAGAGCTGTTAGTTTTCTAACAGCAGAACCATAGATGAGTTTGACCATCACACACAAGCCATTTAAAGTCAATGTTTCCATTTAATTATGTTCTTGTAGTACCACTTATTTACCTTTATGGAGGAAAAAGAGGTCACTTTCAAGTGGTGTGAGGATTCCACTGGTAAATTACATTTCACCTCTAACTCTTAGAAAAGCTTAACTGCTCTGTTGTGATTATATTACATGAATTGCTGATTAGGATGATCCTGTGTTTAGCACCTTGGTTACTGGTTTTATGATAATGATAATTAGGCACAAGGATTGGCCACCTTGAATTTCCAGTGTCCTTGGCTAAAGTTCCACTCTGCCTCCCTCCCATTTTGGTAAAAATGTATCAGTTTCTTCCTAATTTAGATGGCTTACAGCAAATCATTCCAGATACTTTTGATTTCTTTGAAAGTGGCTGCATGGCTCAAGCCATTTTACTATTTCTGTCCCATGGTTCTCATCTACATTACTTGAGTGAAACAGAAAAAGATACCTTAATCTGCCCAGTTCTTCCTAATTTAAAATGTATTATTAAAGCTATCTGATTGAAAGCAAAAATGCCGCTAATTAGCTGTGATGGGACTCCTTGGGAACCCAGCAGAAGGCTGCAAGTGATGACTTGAAGACTAGTCAGCAATCTGACTTCCTTCTGGGCATTGTACAAAATAAATTTGATGATCCCTCATTTTCCTCTACACCCATCACTCTTCAGAACAGCTGTTACAGGAGAGGATCTTACAGCAGGAACACCATATGTGGTGAAAACAGAATCTGTGTACTGTGTGTCACCTGAGTATTTGTCGTAAAACTGACAATGAGCTAGATCTCTATAGTTGTTAAGAGTTTTGGCAAGAAAAGGATGCACTAGAGCAGAAACTATTATCTTCAGTCCAAGACTTCAACCCCATCTGCACAGCTAAGTTTCACCACTGAATGCAGCTGGAAATGTACTATCCTTGTCATACTTTAACTCTTATTTTCCCCATTCTTTTGCCAAGGTAAGGCCTTAACCTGGTAACACTGAATTTGGGAGCAGCAAGTGAGGAACATTTTGAACAATTCTATTATAATAAAACAGCATGTATACTTCAAGTTCATTTGCATTTGTTTTGTAAGGATACCAAACAGAAAAAAGGAACAGCACCAAGTCATCATCTTGTCTGAAATGTGAAAAAAAGTGAGGAGAAGTCACCAAAACAGAACAAAACCCCACCCCAAAAAACAAAAGTTAACCTCAAGGAAACAAATATCAATGCATTGTTCAATGAACTCCATCATAGGCTTAATCATATTCCAGCAAAGTAGTAAAACAACAACCAGCAGCTAACATCATATTAGTTATAAAACAAGTGCATAAACAATACCAGTGCAGCAGAAAGGTACAAGTCAATGGGCACAATGCAGAGAAAGTTAGGTATGCCAGGATTCCATTGAAATCGATGGGATTTAAGTGTTTTATTGTGTACCTGTTTGCTTCAATGGAACGTAGGCACATCTATTTCTCCGGAATGCTCCCAAAGTTCACATTCCAATTCAACTCACTTTCAACATTTTTTTGTGCAATTAAGGAAAAATAAAACACCAGACCAAACTCTTTGGCCAAGTGAACAGTTTTCAATTACAAAATAAAACCTTAATTAAAAAAATATTAAGTCCCACATAAACAATATTTGCATTGCTTTAAAAATGGGGAAAAAACCACTCACACAACATGGACTGCATTCTAATAAACATAAACTCATGGTGTAAATATGGTGAAAATAAAGTTACAGAACATCCTTTAAAACTGTAAAAGGAAAACTGGAGTTGGTGGTTGTAGAACTGTCAAAATTAAGCTTTATAACATACTTCAGTAGTGGTTTAGGTTCTCAGCATATCAGCAGTATATGCCAAATGGTTGGGAGGAACATGTTTTGACTTCCAAACTGCAGCCGTGAATATCTGGATATAACCAGAGGAACCTTAAAGATCTTCTTTGAACAGTTTGGGCACTGTGCTTTATGCTTTTCCATACATCCTCAGTTGTTAAGACTGCAGACAGACGACCCGACTCATCGATGCAGCAACAAGGCAGAAATGCCTACTGGTTCCTTCAGCGTAAACGGTACTTCTGCTATGAGAACTCTGACTCAGTTTGTGTTATGGGGGTTCCCCCAACTCTTAGGTTGCATATGAATTAAGATTAAGGAGGAGGCTTAGGTAGACAGCTGAGGGGGGCACACTGAGAGCTGGAATGTGGCTGTTCTTCTGGAAGAGCTACATCAGGACTGAAAATAGAAAAGGGGGAAAGTATTTAAAATACACGACAAAATCTAGCAAATGCACACAGAAAAGGCTTTCGTTTTTAAGGAGAGGCAGCCTTATCTCGTGAACTCTTGCTATGTTAATTATTACACACCTGCCTATAGCTATTAAACTGTACTTAATGGCAACTTTTGCTTATGCACTTCAGATGCTCATCCATCAGTTCCCAGGGACAAGAAAAGAGCAGCAGCACAATATTCGTAATGAAGCCCAAATGAAGAATATGGATATTGATATAAGTTCAATTTAAGCAGTCTCTAAACCCACAATTATATAAAGAGGAAGGGCTGGTCTAAAATTAGATGTCTGAAAATCATGTAAGGTTTTTATTTTTACAAAGAATTATCTGGCTCATCAAATAGAATTTGTATCAAAAATTACTTGCTGTACAGCCAAAGATCAGAATGTTTAATTTATTGAAATTATTGAAAACTTGACTTTAAAAAACCATAAAATTGTGGGTGCTAGGATTAGCCTTTTGCATATTTGAAAGATCAAATAAATTTGTGAATGCTTTTATGTACATGTGATTGTTGCTTTGCTCACAGCTCAGGGGTGAGCTATGACATTTCAAAGCCAAAGATTGGAATAAATACCTATAAAGCAACACAGCCAATTAATAATTTATAATTCAAACTGAGAGCTGATTTAAATTAGCACAGTGCAGCTTTCCATTTCTGTCAGTGATTTAAGCTTGCCATAGTCTTTCCTGACAGAAGATTGGTACTTTTTCAACAGCCATATCACAGACAGCAAGTGCAGTTTTCCCCACTTAGAAATGCTCTGTAAATTTTTGCCTGTTCTGTAGTAATTAAAAGCACAGTATCTTTATTTAAATAAAAAGGTTGGTGAGCCAATCCTACAAGGGTAATAATACAGAAACACAGGAGGATACATTTTAAGAACTGGGGTACATCTCTGGTAGAAAGAGTGGCTCATACATATCTAAAATAAATAATACATATAATAACAAAATATGTGTGTTTATCATAATTAGGTAAACCAATAAGTAGCAGTGAAAGTACATGATTCACTCTTACTTTAGACTCATGGGCAGGATGGTGGTTAAAAGACACAACTAGGGATGTATGGGGTTTGTTAAATTCAGTCCATCAGTGTTTTGTGGATTGTCAGGAATATCTCATTCCATCATTCACACATTGACAGAATCAGATTTTTTATCTGATAATTTTGTTCATTTGCAAATGTGCATTAGGACATGGTATTAGCCTGAGTATGCATTAGCACAAAGTATGCAAATATGCACAATAGTATGCAAATATGTCAAGTATGTATTTGTACAAATCCTCCCAAAGTTTAAAAAAAGCAGGAGCTGCAGAATTCATGCAACTCAGAAAAAGTTGACCCACTGCAGAATCAGGAGGTTTGAGTCAAAGAAATCTCAACTCATTTGAAGTCACTGCAGATTTCTTCAATACTGCTGGGCACATTAATACTGACATTTTTATTTTTTACATCAAAAAGTTGGAAAGAGAAGGAGGCTGGCTACCAACTGGAATTTGCGTATTTCTATGGCCAAAGCCTCCCCGCCACCCCCGAATGTCCGTCTCCCCTTCTGAAGTCTAGTTGCAATGTTGTGGGGGGTACTGATGCACGTCTTTCTGTGCTGGTGACAAGGAGAGCAGAAACTCTGGAAATCTGAGCAATCCTATGGCCTCCCACACAAGGTTAGGAGCTCACAGGATTTTACCGTACTATGCAGTTGTGGCCAGTGCTGAAATAATCCCAGATCTTTGTAGGATTACTGCCATTCTTGTCTTGTCATAGTCTGAGTGAAGGAGACCATCTCTTCCTTTTCACAAAAATTTGTCTGCCATGTTTCCTGGAACTAATGCCTGCTCATATGGCTATACACAGGCCTCTCTTGCTATATAGAAGAAATATAAAACAGAATTGCATGTTTCTCTGTGGCTTCCTCAAGATAAAGCCACAGAGTCTGCATTTCAGCATGTATATGCACTTGCAGCGAAGCTTCTACTACCAGTAAATATTGTGAATCTGGAATTTCCACCATGGATTTTTCAAAAGTTGTTCAGCGAGATATGAATTGCTGAACAACACCAGATCTTTGTTAAACATTAAACATGCCATGGAAAAAATACAGTTAATTCTTGCACACATTGTGTAAGAAGGTTGCTGTTCCAAGAGCTTTATTTGTTCTTCCACCCTGAAGGAAACCTTACCTATAACGAACAATGTTTCTTAAGATTACAGTGTTTGATTAGACAATTCAATTAATAGCTTAAAATCTTTCGGAGCACAATCCCATGCATGTTGAAACATGTCCTGAATTTCATCCTTAATTGATTAAAAAAAGTATTCCTGAGTAGTCATACAGTCAAACATTTGTTTAAACGTTTTTTTTAATATTTGCAAATCATTAGGTGGCAAGAGTCTTAGAAAAGGATTTCCCCTTTTCTCATACAAAAGAGACAGTAACTTTTCTGAGACTGGACCTGCCATGCTATTGCAAATAAGTGGGAAGGCCCTTTTTCCGCTGAAGGGTACATTCCCTCAAGGATAATCTGTTGGGGGCCACATGGTGGCTGAAGCAAGTGGTGGGCAGTGGGCAGGAGCAGGGTTTGCCCATTTTATCTTCTTTGGCCAACTATCCACTCTTTCTCCCATTTCCCCCCCTCCCTCCCTCCCTCTTCTACCCCATCCTCTCTCTCTCTTTTTCTTCCATCCTACTGGGCAGGCTGCCAAGGAAAGGACAGGTTGTCATTGTTTTAGAAACTAATCCAAGGGGCAAAGGTTGCCTATCCTTGAGGCTACAAGGAAGAAGAAAAAATTTCCTCTTCAGAAAAAAATACTGAAATTAAAATACTTGCATTAATTTGCCCATATGCAAATTAGAGTAGAGTTAATCAATCAATGAAATGAAATTCATACATGAATTGACTAAGGTTTCTTTAATCAAGCAACAGTCCTACTGTTTGTTTTACAACATTTCCATTCATTGAACTGGGCCTGCAGTGGACTTACTGCAGCCTGTGATTTTAGTTTCTGTTGATATTCTAGAGAAAAGTGTTGCTTAAGTCCCTGTTATTTAATTTTTGTTCACTACCAAAGTTGTAGATCTCAAGCTGTAGTTTCTGGAGAAGGATCTTTGCAGTCCTTTCTGCAAAGGCCCCGAGTCAGGCTAGAAGAGGGGAACCTACAGTTTGTCAACCCTAACCATTACCTCAAAGATGGGTTCAATGACCATTCAACCCACTGGAGACCCTGAGGGGCCAGATTACATGATAAGTTTAGCCCATCAACACCTAATGGCTTCCTGACAAAATTTACTCCCTCACAGCTGCGGTTTCCCTTCAAACGGCCTGGGAGAAAAGATTTAATCCCCTATACCTTGGCCATACGTCTAATACAAATTGGTCTCCTTGTTGTTTGTTAAGGGAGAGGCTTTCCCCATGCCATGGTCCATGTAGGAACTTGGGAAAGCTCTTTACACCAAGTCATCCTGTTTGTCCATTCAGTTCTGTATAAGGGACAGATGAACTTACCCTAACAGAAAGTGTACTGCTTGTGTCAAATTACAGAATTCTTGGGCCAAACTTTTGTCATTATTTTGAAAACTTGTTGAACATGGACATCAAAAAAGGGCATTTTGAGAACTGTACTATGGCATAATCCATCACTTTATTATGTTGCCATCATTATTATGGAATGTTTTCATGTGCCCTTCTGTCTACCCTACAGTCAGTATGGGCCATTTTTTTCTGTTTAAATGTGCATAGGAGGGGGGTGCTTGTTGCTCCATTTATGCCCCCCCTTTCAACCTTTTGCAAGGAACCAAGGCAGCTTCTAGTATTCTCTTCCTATCCATTTTATTCTCACAGCAAGAACCCTGTCTGGTATGTTAGGCTGAGAATCTGTGACTGGCTCAACACCAGCCAGTGACCTTCAAGGTTGAGGGAGGACTAGAACTCAGATCTCCCGAGTCCCAGTGAACACTCTAGCCAATATGCCACAATTGATTGTATCCTTAAAGGTTAAGTGACATTATTGCATGATCATAAGAACTACAAACAGTACTCTCTGTTAAAGCAGAACTGTTTAACCAACCAACATCAGGCAGAAATGATGGAATTTAGGTACTTAGTCCTACATTCTTCACAGGTGCAGAACTATTAACACATAATCACTCTTGATTTGAATAACGAAAATACTAAAGTTCATTAGTTAGCCATCAAGGCTTGGTAAACATGTATCTTTATGAACATAACAGATAATTAACTGCCTAATTTCAGGTTTTGCTGACATCTCTACTTAGTAGTGTCAGTTGCTGATTGCAGTGATTCACCAGGATTTAAGACAGAAGTCTTTTCCAGTGCTACCTGGGGATGCCAAGGACTGAACCATAGCTCTTCTGCATGAAAGCAGGTTCTCTATCCATGGCACTACAGCCCTTCCCCAGAAAAAGAAAGAGAGACTAAACCTAAGCATGGCTTTTGAATATGCCACTCATATAAGTAGCTTGGCTCAGATTTTGCCTGCTCCACCTATCGCGTCTCTGGATGGTGCCTGCCTACTGGATCTTTCCTTCAGTCATTTTTCTGCCTGAAAGTTTGCTAGCTGCAGCCATGCAGAGTGTACCGCCTTTGTATTCTGACTCATTCTGCATTGTGTGGCTGCAGCACTATGCTATGGGTGAAACACTCTTCACTCAACTGAGTGCAGTTCCTGGTGCTCTCTCTTGTAGGTGACATATATCTACAAATACTCCAGCCATGTGGGCAGGATTGATGGTGTGGATGTCATATGGTTGTAGTATTCACATGCAAACTAATTGTCCAAGTTTATATTTTAGATATACTTTTGTATTTAAAAATCTCCATATTTTTAAAATGCAAAGCATACAGAAACTAGGAAGTGGAAGAATAGGGTGGAGATCTGGTGACAGAAAGGGGTGTGTTGCCTATGGCAGACTGGTTACAGCATGCAGCAAAAACCAAGAGGAGGAGGAGGAGAGGTTAGCAGAACATTACCTGACAGTCTGGCAGTCTCGCCTCCTGGCTAGTTGTGAGCCGTGTGGCGGTATGGAGGCAGCAGGCTGCTGACAATCTACAAGAAACTGATAAATTAGACATATATACAGAGAGACTTCACAAGGGGTTAGTAATAATAAACAAGACAAGGTAAGTGATGAAGAGATTTAGTGAGGAATGTCTGCTCTGTTTATGAGCCAATAGAAATAAACTGTTAAAAGCAGAACAGATTTTTTCACAAATGCTGATCAAAGTAGTTGTTCAGCTGGGGAAGCACCTAGACTTTGGGTCAGATCCCAACGTGGTGTAAACATGGTATAGTCTACCACATTAACAGAATTCCTGGTTGGCATTGCAAGTCTGTATTTTGCAGCCTCAATTCCCCATCTCCGAAGTGTGACTCCTTGAAGAGTATCCATCACTGCCACAGAGCCTCTGCTACTTCTGGACCTACCACAAGCACACCATGGACTAGAGCTTCCTAAAGAGCCTCCAGAAAGGAACAGGACAGATCTACAGCACTCCTTTCTGTGGGCTCCGTATTGCTTGGGAAAAGAGCATTTCTACTTGTTTCTGATTGTTTTGGGAACTGGTAGTAGATCCAACGATCACCTGAACAGTATTGGATACTATCCATAATGACTTGCCTCAAAAAACCCTTTCTTAATCTGGACCCTGGAGACCCTTTCAAATGAAACTGCATTGTTTGCCTTGCATAATTAATTCCTTTGGAAGCTATTAAAATGCCACCCAGGCTCAGCAAACAGCTAGCTTTTTCCTGGTAAAGTAACTGAGAGCTAATTGATGTCACCCTTAAAATGCATGGCTGATGGTTCTTTTTTCTCGGACGTGATTTCAGATGTGCCAAAACAGAGAGCTGCAATTCACCATGCCCCTCTTCCACTTGTGCGGATTACTTTCATGCGGCTAGTACTTTATTCAGCCATGCTTCAATTCAGAATGTCAGCAAAGATGCCTGTGTTGCATCTAATGGAATCTAGCCTCTGTATCATTGATTATTATTGTAGTTTTGTTTGCCATCTCAGTTCACATATTTGGCTTGCCTCCCTTGGCACATCTCATTTTTCTGTGGAGTTCTGCACTGCCATCCAGTGGCATAGAGACAGCTTTAGCCAAAGAATGTTTTACTCCGTAAGATACGAAGGTATTGTATGGACACAGTTAAAGTGCAAAATACTTAAAAACTTTGAACATATAAGGGGAGAAGGGAACAATTATTTGTTCAATTGTAGTGCACAAATATAAAATTGGTCACCTTCAGCATTATATAGAAAAGCAGTTTGTTTTGAAATAAAGACCTTCTTTTAAACTTGACATTTTGTATCTTTGTTATGAATTTTAATTTTTATTTAATGTTTCACTATATTTTTGATTTTTGTTTGTTTTGAATGCCATCTTGGCTGAACATAGAAAGGCAATAATAGAGATATATTAAATAAATAAATACATAAATGAATACACAAAATCAATTGAACTCAGGACTGAAATGATGAACTCAAAACAGGAGAGAAAACTGTTTCCGCAAATAAGATTTTTTTGATATTTTAAAGCATCAATCTCTGGACTCCCCTGCTACTCATGTATTTTTTTCCTGTCAAAATATGCACAGGATTATATCCTTAAAAGGTGTGTTGCTCTTACTGTGTACATGATTCTTGAAGGGTATGTTCACATTGGGTCATACTAAATTTTTACAGCAATTTTACAATTAAGATGGGTACAAAGGGATAGTTGGGTTTTGGACTATTATTGCCCTTAAAAACCAAGGATGCAACTTCAAGCAAGCTCTACTTCCTAGAAAAATTATTCTAACAATAAAAAATCAGCATGTTATAAGAAGGATGTCATATGCTACTGTAGGAAGGACATTTAATTAAGATCATTAGGGCTCTAATGCTTTTTTTTCCCAATGGTCATGTGATTTTGACTTTTGGAAAATGAGACAAATTTGGCAATTTCACAAATAAATTTTCTAGGGAAGTGACAAATACTAATGGCGGTTGGCAAGAAACAGGAAAAACCTTGTTCCAGAAAGGGAAGTCACAGAAATCTGCAACAGATTTGAATGTGTCTGGATACCTATGAATGCAATCTGTGAATTCAGCAGGAGTGCCACACCACTAGTCTGGTGTAATGTCTGCTCTCTCAGATATGACTGTCCACTTGCAAAATCTATTTATTTTGAATGAGTTCTTATCCTGCTTTTCTATTATGAAAACATATTCAAAGTAAATTCTCAGATACAAATCACATCAACAATAGAGCAATTATGGAATTATGGAAAAAGCTTAAGAGAGCCATCCCTAGAAATTGTCCGATGGGCCGCAGATTCCCAGATCCAAAGGTCCCAGATTCCCTGCCCTCTCACCTTGCAGCTGGGAATCAAAGCTCTGCCTTCACCCCACCTTGCAGGCAACACAGGAGGAACTATATCAGGTGCTCTCTGAGGTCAGAAAAGCAACCTCAGACAGTGGTGGAAAGGCAAGATTCGTTGGGCATGGCCTGGAGGGGAGAGGGGTATGATGCATCCAGAAGTCACACCAGCCTCTTTCCCTGCCACTCTGAAATACCCCAGCTGCCTTTTTAGTGGAGTTGCTGTCTTGGCTGTCCACCCAAGCAACATCTAAAAGATAGTAAAGTGTACGGGGGTTATACTTTGCTTGGGATCTGCCTATCTGGCCATAGTCTTGCATTAATAGTTGTTCCCTGATAGAATATTCTGCACAGATTTTAATGCAGTCATCTTGATCCAGAGAGTGAGAAAATAGAATGCATTTAGAGGAGGAATCCAGCTTGCCAAAAGAATCTTGAAGTTCCATTTTATGAATGTAGAGCATGGTGTACTGGTTAAGAGTGCTGGGCTGGGACTCGGGAGATCGAGGCTTAAGGCCCCACTCAGCCATGCAGCACACTGGGTGACTCTCAGCCCAACCTACCTCACAGGGTTGTTGTGAAGGTAAGATTGAGAGGAGAAGGAGAATTGTGTAAGCTGCCTTAGTTCCTTGGAAGGAAAAAATCTGGGATATAAATACCCACAAGTTATTTATGCATGTATTTACCTTCCTATAAACATTGATGTAATCTTAAGTGATTGTGCTTTTTTACTGAATAAATATATTTGTTGGGAAAAATTAGGAAAGAGATGTTAGCAAGTTATTCACATACTTTATGCCAAGTCACCATTAGCCAGACTATAGAATTATCTTGGCTTTAAGTCACCGTTTTATAGACGAGATCATGTCCTTCCATACCAACCACATCAAACAAAAGTTTTCATATTATTTCAAAGGGTTGGAATCTATTTCTTACATATCTTCCCTTATATTTCAAGTACATTTGAGACAGAAAAGATAAATTACTACTATATGCATAATTAAATGTCAGAATTCACTGGACAGGTTTAGACAATACTTTCAGTTCATGGTGGCTACATGACAAGCCTGGGCTAAAAATTGCCAGGAGGGGCCCAGCTGCACCTGATTAGCAATAGGGCACAGCAGGGGTCCTCAGGCATTGCCTCCCCCTCTTTCCCCCTCAGTCCTCCAGCCAGTATCCCAGGGACAGCTGCTGAAAGGGGGTACTCTGGACAATTGTCCTCCACTGTACTCTCTGCCTGCACTCCTTGGTTATTCCTCCCTAAATAGTCCTGAGTTGCAGATTTGGGTGTCACAGAGAGGAACCTAGACACAAGGAATCTCTGGATTGTTTAGTGCAGCAAAAGCGTGGAGTTGAGAGTCAATATATTTGCTCACCCCCAAACAACCCATGGTTCACATGGGTTAACTGTGTAAACTGGGAGTGACTTGCTCAGAAGCAATGATGTAAGCAACTGATAGTTAAAGGTATTCTTAATCTATTGCTTATCCATGCTCTTCTGTTACATTAAGAGATAGAATCTACTAATGATGGAAAATGGCAAATAAATTGGCGAATTGACAAAGAATAACCATACTGCTGTGCAATTAAAACATTTTTCAGAATATTGAATGAAAATTTGTGCTCATTCATGAGTAATTTTACTAATTCCTCACTAAATCGATTGATAGTCTAGCCAACAGGTTAGTGAAATAGCAGGCACAGAAGGAAAGTGGTTTGCATTCCCTTAATTATACAGTATATAGAAAAACATTTAGCAATGAGACTAGACATGCTCCGATTAAAATGTGACTTTTCCCCAAGACTTTAGTATGAAAAAACTATGAATGTGATACACATGGATGCTTGTCAGAAAACAAGCATAATTTGCTGAACACATTCAAGGTTTTATTAAAGTGTCAAAGGACGTCACATCAAGAGTCTAAAAGCACAACCTGAAGCTGTTTCCAGAATGAATTATACAGTGCCTATCCATATTACATTTTCATTGATTTCAATGCTAGGATTAAATCATCAGATTAGGACAGACAATGCCATTATAAACAATACTTTGCAACAGAGCTAACCTCCCCCACCCTCCCAAAATATGGATACTTCAGGTGTTCTGCATCTGGCCAGTTCCTTCTTTTCAACTCAGACTGCTTGTACACGTGGCAAATGGACCATGTTAACACTTCAGGATGGGCACATAGTACTATTTCACAGATTAGCACAAACCTTCCTAATATAGACTTGCCGAACTGCAATTTGTGCTCATGGTGAACCAACTTGGACCAGTTTATCATTTTTGAACTTCACAGTGCATGCTAACATTCTTTGAATAAACAATTCAAGATTAGAAACATGTGGGGTTCAGCATAAATGCTTCTAATTAGGGCTTTTTCATGATCAACCCATGTCTCATTCATTCCTTTGAATCTGTTATGAGGATCAGTACTGGATACAACCCATAGTTGTCAGCAGTCACCTTACTGAGCTAGTCACCAGACACAATACCAAGGTTTCAACAAGAGAGGTATTTGTCACTGCTGATCTTCTCCTGTAAAGTTTTGGGGTATATTCTACAGTACACACCAAGTTTATGCAGAGACTCCAATAAGCCCTGCAGTCCAGAATACTTTCCCAAAGGAAAGAAGACTGCATTGAGGAGCAAAGCCCCGGATCCTCTGACACATGCAAAGTTAGCAAACCAAACACAAATCTTTGTGGAAGGATTGCCTGATCACAGATGATTTGACTTATACTACAAGTTTGTCACGTGTACTCGGCTATCTGCAATGCAAAGGAAGGCCTGGCACCAAGGATGCACATTTCAACTGACTATCATCTCTCACTGATAAACCTGCATTTTTGAGTGAGCAGCACAATGCAGTACTTTGATACTATACAGAAAAAATAGGTTACACATGAACATTTCATTAAACCATTTCAGAAAAAGGGCAATCTAAAGATACCTAAGGTTTCTGTCATGAATTCCTAAAAAGTTGCAGCGAGTGGTCTAGATAACAGAAAACCGTGGATGCTGCACAACAACCAGTGTCATGCAGAATGTGCTATAGTGGTGCGCCAGCAATTACTCCAGTAGGGTTGGAACAGCTGCAACCATTTGGAGATCTGATTCACATGGTTTGCCCCATGCAGTTCTACCCATGTGGTGACTTCACTGGAACACTTATGAATTGTGCCTAAGCTGGAACCTGTAAAGGATAACTTCAAGATGAACACATTTCTTTAACTGTGGACTATTCTACCTATTAGTGAAGACACAATTGTTACTATCAATGGGAGGAAATAGTGTTTAGACATTATTCTATGTAAATACTTCCCAGTTATTTCATTTAGCCATGTTTATCAGAAGGAGCATATTGCCTGGTTGCATGCAAAATATATGATTTTAATAACATGATCCTGCTATAAAAATCAAGATGACAGTTTGGAGAAAAATTAATATGTGAGGCATAGCGGTGATTTTGTGGTATCACATTTATTAAATTATATTACTCAGCATGAAATGTATGCTCTCCGTCTTGTCTGCAGTACTTCAAAACTTAACCAGGATAGAGAAGAAAGCACAAAGCAGTGGCACCAAGAGGTAAAAGTATGTTTAGCTGGCTTGCTTATTGATCATTTAAAACCAGGTAAAGCCCATAGCAAAATGTGTATTTTTCCAGTTTTGAAATGGATTTTACAAGGACTTGTACCACAGCTGGAATGAGTATATGCACATATGATGTTCATGACATGTTAAAGTGCAGGAAAAAAACATTGAAAAACAGATAATAAAATGAACACAAAAGAGTAAATTATGCTAACACTTTTTTCAATTCAGAACTATGTTAAAATATTTGATTAGATATAGAATGCAAAAAATCCTGCAAGTTGCCTGATTATTATCCTGACCAATCCACTTTGGTGTACCTTTAGCATCCCCGAGCTGCAGTAGGATTCCCTGCAAGTGGGAGGTGCACCACGCATTTCAGCTTTCTCTGCATGTGATGTGATCAGGGCTGACATCAAGGTAGACGTGGTTGGGCACCCGCTGACCGTCTTTGCTTCAGTGGGGCCCACCAATAAGAGTCCCCTGAGCTTGCTCTGATGCATCATTGCAACCTCTTTGTTCAACTGCTTCTCACTCTCACCCAAACTGAGGAGAAGCAGCAGCACCTGCTTGCTCACCAGCTCTCTGCTTGTTAGACAAGCAACTGGTAGCATTTATGAGGATGAAGGAGCAATGGCAGCTGATGCCAGAGGCAGTGAGAAGGTGGACCCCAAAAGGGAGGGTCCACTGAGGATGTCTTGCCCAAGCCACTCAAAAACCTGGAGCCAGCACAAGATGAGATGGGATGATACCTGAGAAGCGTCAGGCCCCAAGGATCAAGCCACTTTTGGCGTATTAAAATATGCAGCAGAAAACAGAGCTTAGTTACTTTTTTCACTTGGTAATTCCTGCTTTCAGAAATGTAAACTATTTTAAAATCTATGCATTAAAATGATGGGTGTTTCTGGTTGGCCAGCATGAAATAGCCACAGATAATTTCTAGCCTTTCATTTATTAGCCAGAACCCAAAAGGACTTGACTATGTCTGGAAGGACTTATACGGTTGGGTTTTTTTTTTCTTTTTCTGTAAACTGCATGCCATGTCACAAAATATTATGAATAGGTTTCCTGAGTCTGAGTAGCAATTTGGTTTTCTTACAACAGATAAGGACACCACCCAGTAATGAGCAGGAAGAGAAACTAAGGAAGATGCTTGACCAAGCCTAACATATTTAATAAAGTGAAGTCATTGTACCTCCTGAAACAGTCTGATAAAGATGACAAACTTTTTTTTGCTCCAAGGTATCAGCACATATATAATGCATTTCTCTATACTTTAGATATTTTTCTCAGTTTATATATCATTATAAGTAAACTGGTCTCAGTGATAAACACAGGTACTTGAAAATGTCCAGTGGATTTAAATATAGCTCACTTCTACTTTAAGTAACTTGGAACCATCAATGCAAGGCTAAACACATTTATTTGCTTGAGAGAAACCACTGAATTCCAAATAAATGTGATAAGAATTGGCATGTATATTGATAGGCTCTGAATAAGTTAGGGAATCTCAGGCTGAATAAGTTAGGGAAATGACAGGACTTCAGATATAGTCTTGCCATGATTACCCTGACATTCCCTGGATCTCCTGGATCCCTGGAATGCCACCATCAGAATACTGGTGCCAATGTAGCTTTCTGCAAGAGAGCAAGAAGACTTCTGTGGTGGCTTAGACATCATCTACTGGCAGCAGTGGTGCAGCTAGGGATAGACCCTGGGGCTAAAGTTCAGGGCCATGTGGTCCAGCTGGCCCACAAACTTTCCACCCAGAGTGGCAGGTGATGAGAATATCAAGGTGGCACACAAACGCTCTGGAATCATTATGATGACAGAAAGCATGGCTAAATGTGAAATGAGTTAAACATTTTGAAAGAAGTGCTGTAAACCTTCTTAATATTGACAGCTATAATACTTGAAACTAATGTAGCTATTGGAAGTACTTGAAACTGATGTAGCTATTGGAAGGTAGCCATTTGTCTCCCTTCAAACATGACTGGAGCTGTATGGGACTTGCTTCCCTGCTGCAGGGTGTCCTCTTTGACAGAGGAGAGTCCTCTATTTGAAGAGGTGTCAGAGGATGCCTTCTATTTTGAAGGTGTCATCTAATTAAAGGAATGTCCAGTCCACGTTTAGTAAAACGATTAAAAATAACCATCAGGAAGAAAAGCTGGGCCTTGAAATTGTCCATGAACAGCACCTAGACAATAGATTGAGCAAGGCACAGTTTTCTATTTCTATTTATTTCTCAATAGGTCATTATACATCTAATAAGAATATGCACATTTTATATACTTTGGTGAACTCTTTTGTCCTCTCTTTAGTGATACATGCCCTCTTTTTTGGTGATTCACAAGTATCCATTTTTTTTGTCAGCCCTGTTAAAAGAATCACTCCTGAACATTCTAATATATAAGGAATACAGAAGCAGTGGTAAATTGCGGAATGGCGGCTGTGGGGTTCAGCAATGCTGACTGGGTGCTTCACAACTAAACTAAAGTGAACCACAAGGAAGGCATTCCAATGGTGTCCCCACCCACCTTAAGGCCATTTATCTCCAGAGTCTAAAATTACCTGGCTTTGCCAAGGACTGGCAGAACTTTCTTCTCCCTGACAGCACTTGCCCCAGTTCCTGAGTCCCTCGGCTGGCTTGCAGCTGAGGTCAGGACCTTGCCTTACTTGCAAAGCAATTTCATTTGGAACCCTTTTCAAGTTATTGTTATTTGAAATTAAGGAACACTAACTTTTCACCTTATTTCCAAATGCTGCCTTTAGATTGTTTGCTGGCAACCTGCCCACACAATAGTTACTCGTAAATCAGTCCCATGTAAAGCGTATTAAGTATTGTTTAAGTACAAAATAATATGTTAGTGTACTAGAAAAAGGAATGCCTACTTTATGTACTTGTCTTTCCATCACCTTTTCAAATTATAATTATGTTTCGAATGTCCATGGGAAAAAAGCTAAGATTTTATCATGTAAGCCTTTACATCTAAAGTGAGTTTCACTAAATATTTTATTTCATAATTTTATTTTCATAATTTTAAAAGCGTTATGAAAAAGCCTGCAGTCCATGGAATTAAACAGTTTAGATTGCAATAGATGGCGGATCAGGCAAGTCTTCCTCATTTAGTAGACCTTATTCATGTTGCCCAGTTAGGAAATCCAATAATTATCTGGGAGAAATGTGGATTAAGATCCCAATAGCTAATAGACTGCAACTTGGCCTCTCTGAAAGAAAGCAGTTAAATTCATTTTGACTTCTTTGACTTCCCAGACAAGAGACACAAGGGTCACGCTATCGGTCACTGAGAAATGAGTCAGTGTTGTTTTTCTGATAAAAGAAGTTTCCAAAACAATCAAGGCCAGGTTTTGCACCTAGGGCACCAGGAGGTCAACATGCTCATGTTAGATTTATAGTACCATCTTGCTCTCAGCATCATAAAACACACATTAAAAACCATTAGGGTAACTACAAACAGTTAACTTGATAAGAAGACCTGCTACGCCATTATTCAAAATAATAGGAGGAAGCTTTCCAGATTGTAAATACAAGAGATGTGTTTCCAGAAGATGTAGTCACAAGATGGAAGGAGTCAGAAAAACAATTCTTGTGTCACAAACATGCCTGTATCAGGGGTTTCTGAAATGTTTTTATATATGTGTTGTTATAATTTATCTTGATAAAAGTTCACAATTCAACACTGTTATCTAGACAGAAGTTGATTTAAAATAAAAAGTATTCTTAGGATTGTAGTTTAATGGAACATAAATTAATATAGTAAAAGTAATCTAAGCATGTTTAATTGGCTCTACAAGAGTATATAAATTGTAAATATATGGCAATAGAGCTTGCTTAAGGAGAGCTTACTCTTTTCATTGACTGTAGAACAAGCTTCATATTTTTATTCATTGACTCTGATTTTGGTTTTGTTCTGCTTAGAAGTCTGACTTAAAATGATGTCAAAAGCTCATGTTTTTATAGTAAAGAAATGAAAGATAGGACTTGGCTGAAAAAATGATTTCTGGAAACAGAAAACTCTGTATGCTCTATATATAGAGTGAAGAATTTATTTTACTCTATTTATGTTATGGCATCCGGTTTGGGGAGAAATTTACTGAAGTGTTGTAAAACAGACAACTGAGGATTGACTACATGCAGATAACATATTTCAAGAGAATCTCTGGACCAAGGCATAGATCACAAAGCATATAAACTAGGGTCGGGCAACCATTTTCTGTCAAGGGTCACTGCTAGCAAAAAAGCAAAACTCATGAAGAATATACTTGGTGCTACCAAAGCTAGCTGGGTCTCAGAGAACAGTGAGCATAGCTGTTCTTCTAGGGAGGCAGCAACTCTGTCAAGAACAGGATGAATACCAGAGCCATCTATCCACACCTCGTTCATCTAGTGAAGATTCAGTTTACTCATCTAAATTCAGCACCTGCACTTGACTCAAATCCCAAACAGAGTTAGAACTGGATGACATGATCATACTGATGACACTTCCCTTCAGGCCTTCAGAAACTTACTCACTGGCTCCATACAGATGTTGACACACATGGAACACTGTGGAAACACACTCTGCAAATGCCAGTAGGTCAAGCAGAAATCCTCCAATTTGTCCAGGATGTGCGCAATTTAAATCATGTCTCCCTTGGACTATCCTTGCTAGCCTCTGCTTCTCTGGGGATGCCTTGAGCACATTCCTAGCACGTCCAAGGCTTAAGCGGCCAGCATCTCTGGGCTACTCCTCTCAGTACAGCAAGCCCTCCTTTGTCATGGGCTTACCCAGTGAGTCCATCTCTTGGTTGGCCTGTGTTCCTAATGACACTGCCATGCCTGGTGCCAGCATGCCAGGACCCCACATAAGCCTGGTCTGTCCAGCTCGTTTCCTAACCTCCAGCTTCCTTGATCCAGTACTATGCTAGAGCTGTAAAATTGCTGGGAATTTTGAATTCTGGGAAATAAAACTTTTTTGGGGGTTGGGAATGGAAATTTTTGGAAAACTTAAAATGCAGTGTTAGCTTCCTTTACAGACTGAAAGTCATGCTGTTATTTAGAAACAGATAGTGTCTTATGTATACTACGTTTGGTATATTAAAAGTACAGTTTATTCAGGCAATAATTACAAACTGAATTTACTTTCTATATTTTTGTTTCAGGAATATAAACTGTACTGTAAGGAATATCTGAATGGTAAAGAAGCACTTTGGTTTTGCCAGTATGAGGAGCAAGCCAAAACAAAAACATAAAGCAAAACAGAGGAAAACATCAATATTAATAAAACAAAGAAAATTGTGTCTAGCCCTCTCCTTCACAGTGTCAAGCACAGAGAGAACTCAGGAAAAAAGGGATGAGGTTGAACCAAGATACAATTATTATACATTACATTTAATCAGTCCTCTTTTCAGAACTATTGCTATCAGTCCCAGTGTCTACTTTTTCTTTTTCTGCTTTGCTTTTATCATGGCTGTCCTGGGCTTCTGAAAACAGAAAGTTTGCCCAGATTGAAACAAGCTTCCCTCAAGCATAGTTCCTTGATTTGGAACTTTCTTGATTTGGATTTGAATATTTCCAAACATGGACTAGTTTCTTCCACATGCTGGGAAGCTGTAAGAATCTGGAGTAGGTGGGAAGCGAGAGGAGTCAGCAACTGGGTTGTGCAAAGGCCTGTCGCCATGTTGCAGGAGGCCAGTGTTTGGCAGAATCCCAGACTGCATTGCTAGACCAAATCCTTGAAGATGCTCTGTAGTTTGCGCAATTGACCAACCCGTCAATAGATGATGAGTAGCATGAAAGGCGCCAGGAGATTCAAAGCAGTAACTCTGGAATCACGTTCCGGTCTGCTTCGCAGAATGCCTTGCAGAATGCCTTTGCTGGTTGCCACTGCCTGGCTGTACATCTTCCTTCTTTTGGGAGATGAAAGGTGGAGAGGCTCTGGCATATTTGGAGATCAGAAATAGCAAGCCCTGAAGCATATTTGTGGCAGGTTACCAGATAGCACCAATGAGTTCCATTGGCTGTCCCTGTGGCTGCTGCCTAGTTCCATTTGTGTGTTGTGTGTGTGTGTGTGTGTGTTAGAAACAGTTTTCTAACTGTTGAGAATGTGATAATGTGTCAGAAATGCCCCTGACTTGACATGCACAGGTTGCTTCCCTACTTGTAGAGATAATATGCAGGCAGTGGTACAGTCCTCTTACTGGAGGGCACTGCTGAAGTTTCCAGGGATCCTGG